AAAGCCATGATGTCCTCACCAGCTCCATTCTGGGCCATCTGATCCGTCTACACAGGCCCCATTAAGCTGGTAACTCAGGAAGAGATGTACTTCTTGAACAAAAAAATTTCAGGAAATGGGATGAAGTTGTTTTATTTAAACAAATGGTCCAATTATCCAATTTCACTTTGCACTATATGAGCACAATTTCTCACCATGCGGACCTGATTAAACCTTCAGAGAGGTTGGGCCAGTATGTCATGGGTAATGCCTGCAAGCAAGACACATCCTTACCGAGTAGGTGGCTAACGTGAACCGCTCCAGGTGAAGCCAGGTTACAAGTATGGTACGTGTTTCACTGCTGACTTTGGCAAGAGTCACAAGGTAGAGACATCATTCAGATCCTCAGAGTTTAGAAATGAGTAAAGGTGGGAAGGGGGGGGTCATCTGCTCAGAACTGAGCAAAGGAAGAGTGGCAGATGGGGAAAGATCACAGCAAGAAAGGGAAGACACAGGAGCAGACAAAGGAGGGTGTGCTCTTGGTGGACCATACAGGTGGTTCCTGGCCCCCCTATTTTTTCTGTTTTATTATAAATTTAATACATTCTTTTTGAAAAAAATAATAATTACCTCCTCCATCTCTCCCTCCCTCCCTCCCTCTCTCTCTCTCTCTCTCACACACACACACACACAGACACACACACACACACACACACACACACCTCTTCTCAATTTCTAAAGGTAACTATGGTTTGGTTTGGTCTGGTCCCTCCTGAACACTTTCTACACGTAGTCAAATACATGTGTCTCCATCTGTTTTAAAAACCATTTGTAGGCTTCCCTGGTGGCGTAGTGGTTGAGAGTCCGCCTGCCGATGCAGGGGACACGGGTTCGTGCCCCGGTCCGGGAAGATCTCACATGCCGCGGAGCAGCTGGGCCCGTGAGCCATGGCCGCTGAGCCTGTGCGTCCGGAGCCTGTGCTCCGCAACAGGAGAGGCCACAACAGTGAGAGGCCCTCATACCGCAAAAAAAAAAAACCAAAATCCATTTGTGTGGCATCAAAATGCTTGGTCTCTTGCTTTTCTCAGTTAATGATCCATCTTGGATATTCATCCCTGTGAGATAGCTCCTTCTCTCTTCATGACTGCATAGTATTCCAGTATGAGCCTGCGCCATAATTAATTTAGCATATCTCTTTTTGGTGGCATTTAGCTTGATAATGATTTTTCACCATTATAAATAATCAGCAATGGAAATCCTTGAACACATCTTCTTGAGCACACATGTGAGTTTTTCTGCAAGATGATCTCTTCCTCTAAGTGAATGTTTCAGCCTTACTTTATAACAGATGGTGGTCTAGTCACTGACCAGAGACAGTCGAATATTTTAAATTAGTTACTTGCTCACTCAGGCACAGCAAGTCAAAATGTACGCCAGGAAATGCTCGGAACAGCATCCAGTCCTCCTCAAATCCAGACTTTCAGAGCTGGACAAGTTAATGCCCCAAACGACTCATGTTCAGATGTCACTGGACCATTTATAAGGCACTTTTTCACATTCTGGTTCACCTAATCCTCATATTGGTCCTGAAAAATAGGTATTATTGGCATCACTCTTTTTACAGATGAAGAAACTGAGGCTCAGAGAGGATGAGACATTTGCCCAAGGTCACACAGCTCATAAGTGGCAGAGGAATCAGAAACCAAAGAGAGATCTGATGAAATCCTGCCTTCTTTCTAAATCTATGATACAGGTTGTATCATGGTGCCTCACATGAGAAGAGCTTTACAGTGAATAGTTAGCTGAAAAGGTGGGTGAAATAAACATCTACCCACGTGGCTGAGTTTGCAGGATGTATTGGTTTCCTATTGCTACTGTAACAAATTACCACAAACTCTATGGCTATGAGCAACACAAATTTATTATCTGACAGTTCTGGAGGTCAGAAGTCCAAAATCGGTCTCGCTAGGCTAAAATTTAGGTGTCAGCAGAGCTGTGCTCCTGCTGGAGGGTCTAGGGGAGAATCCATTCCTGACCTTTTCCAGCTTCTAGAAGCTGCCCACATTCCTTGGTTCATGGCCCCCTCCAGCAACTGCATTACTCTGACCTCTGCTTTCAGTGTCGCATCTCTGACTCTCACCCTCTTGCCTCCCTTACGAGAACCCTTGTGATCACATCAGGTCCACCAGGATAATTCAGGATAATCTCCCCATCTCAAGATCCTTAACTCAATCACACCTGCAAGGTCTCTTTTGCCATGTAAATTAACATAGTCACAAGTTCTGGAGATCAGGATGTGAATATCTTTGGGTGGTCATCATTCTGCCTACCACACGGGGTTCCTAGCATAGCTGTTAAGAGCAAGTATATACCTTGGTTCAATTCTTGGCTCTACCACCTGCTAATGGATCCAGGTACGTAACTCCTCTGAGTCTTAGCCTCACCTGAAAAACAGGAATAATAGAATTTTCCTTTTAAGGCTGTTGTGATGATTGAATAACACAATGTTTGCGGAGCACTTGAAACATAGGGCTCGGTAAATGGTAACTGTCATCTTCCCCATTGCCTATGATGGTAACAGGTAACAGAAATTCCACCATTCCAGATTTATTTCTTTGGCTTTTTCCCCAAGGGCATGTCTCAGGCCCTTGTCAGCTGACAGTGGGATAAGGTGGCAGTTAAATTAAGTCAGGCTCCTCAATGGGACATAGAGAACCTGGGAAGATTCAGAGAAACTAACCACATAGAGGGAGAAGGCTTGAAGGGGAGGATGACGAAGAGAAATATGGTTCCTTTGCCAGCTTCTGGGTTCTGCCTGTGGCTCAGCTTTGAGAATTTCTCCAGCCTCTCCCCAGATTAGCCAGGGTCAGCCTGCCTAAAAGGAACACTCCGAAGATGATTTTCTCAGATAGACGAGACCTGCCCAGTTGGGTGTGCAACAGAGCAGGGCGGCTCTGGAGTTGGACCCTGGCATGGAAAAGTACTGAGGCCCTTTGCCTCTGGGTAGGAGCTGGAACAGCTGTCTGAAATGATCACCCGCAGTCCAGGCCTCTCCAAAGTTGGTCTTGCAGAGTGAAATGAAAACCAGATTCCTGGTCTTATCTGAGAGCTATGTGACTGTTTCCCATCACTCCTTCAGAGCCTGGAAGGTTCCCAAATTCATTGTCTAAACTTTGCAGTGGATACACACAGCTCTCAAATGGGAGCCTGTTATCACAGGTCCCTTCTACACAAAGATTCTCCCCATTTGCTAAGATAATGTTATTATTTGGGGCTTTCATTCATCCAGCAAATATTTATTAAGCCCCTCAGGGGGCCAGTATGGGGGCGCAGGGGTCCCAATCCTCAGGAGAGCAGGAGGCAGACTTGTAAAAAATTACATCACTATGCAGGGTGCGACACTGGCGTCTTCTCCCTGAGTGACAGATAGAAGCAGGGGAAGCTTGTCTCAGGGCCCAGAGCATGACAAGTGATTTTTCCATAGCAGGGAGAGCACAGGCTCTGGAGGGGACCAACTTGGGTCAAGCTCCTGACACTTCTCAGCTGTATGACTTTGGGCAAATGACTTCAACCCTTTAAGCTTCAGCTTTCTGTTCTATAAAGTGGGCATAACTGATAACCATCTCCAGGGTTGTTATGAGGATTAAATGAGATGGTGCAAGGGAAGCAGGTGGTAACCTGGTGCTTGATCCACAGTAAGGATGTGAGGAATACCAGTTATTGATATACTTACGGAGACTCATTACTCTGTTTCTCTAAATGCCTTTCCCACCCCCAAATCACAGGACAGCCCCAAATTGGCTTCTTTATAGACACGAGGGTCCTGTTGAACTGTTGCCATTAAGAAGCAACAACGGGAAAAAATACCCAGGTGTGACCACTCTGTAGGTATACACACATGGGGACCACGTGTACCCATGAAGTCAGCAGTTTGTAAGTGAGCTTGATTGCAATTACCAGCAGGGTGTCTATTTTCCATCCTGGACAGGGCAGATTCCCAGTAGGAGGCGCCTTCTGTCCTCAGCTAGATTCTCTGACACCCGGCCAGCTGCCTATCAGCTTTTCTCAGGACTTGAACTTCAAAGGGCTGGACACACACTGGAGAAAGGGACCCTGGCCTGACCGGTCTTGGAATTCAGAACAATGTAAGGTTGAGAGAGGAGAAGGGCAACCTTCTCCCTCTGTGTTTAGAATCGGGCTGGGTCCCAGCAGCGCAGTTCCAGAGCAAACCTCCAGGCAGCGGCCCCACGCAGGGTCGCAGGTTAGAGGCGCCCTCCCAAGCTGTGGTTCACCCTCCCCAGAGCCAGGCCTTGGGCAGCAGCTCTGGGGCTCTAAGCAGAGGCGGACCACCTCCCTGCCACCTGGTCGGCAGGACACCAACCGGTGCTTCCTTGGGCAAGTCCTCCGCAAAGCTGGGAACGAGCCTCCAGCTGGGGAGGCACAAGAGCCGGGGCGGCCCCATCCCGGGCGCGGGCGCAGGCACCTGGAATGGGCTCCACCCCGACCAAGGCCCAGGTGTGAGACCCGGAGGTCGCCCAGGGAACCCGGGAGCGGGTGGGGAGCCGAGTCGAGGGCCTGAACAGACTCGCTTTTCAAAAACTAGCTTCCTCCTTTCTTACCTCCGCCCATCAGTTACCTCGCAGGGCCTCAGCCCTGGGCGGTGCAGGCGGGGCTCAGCACCCTGAACCTGCTGGAGGGTGAAGAGGGAGGCGGCAGCCTCCCCAGGAAGGGGCGGGGGAGTGGGGATGCCGGTGCACCGGCTGGCCAGGTGAGCGCCTCACCAGGTAAAGGCGCGGCAGGCGGGCCCGGTGAGCTGAGCCACCGGGCCTGGTGGGGAATCTCTGCTCTTACTTAACCCTTAAAACCCGGACTCCGGGCCGAGACGCCTCTCCCCACCCTACCCGCATACATCCAATTCTCGGTCCCCCGCGGGGGTGGAAGGAGTCAGGGCCCTGTCCCCTCCCCCCACCACCCCCCACCCCGGTTTAGCCAACTTCATGCGGCCCAGCGCTCCCGGCCCGCGCTCCTCCCCCAGCCGACCGGACGGAGTGGGTGTCCGCCCTCCGCAGCTGGGGCTCGGCGCCCCAGGCCTCTGGGTGGAGCGGACGGCCGGGCTTGGCGTAGAGGGTCGACTGGTGGGCGGTGCCTCTCGGGGCCGGAGGCCGCTCTGGGCCGGCACCGCCCTCCGTCTCTCGCGGTCCCTCCCTCCGGCACGCCGGCGCCCCGCGGCCGCGCTTCCTGCGTCCCCATCCCGGTCCGAGAGCGGGCTGCGCGCTCACCGCCTCCGCGCTCCCTCGACCGAGATTCCCCGGAGCCCCCAGCCCCGGGATCGCGACACCCGAAGGAGGCAGCCTGTGGGGGCCGGGGTCGTGTGGCCCCCAGCCCCCGGCTGCCCGACCGAGACCGAGCTGGACCCGCCGCCGCCCCGGTGAGTCTGCGCCTTCCGCCCCGCCGCGCCCCGCGGAGGGATTGTTCCCCACAGGGCCCCGGAGGGAGTCGACGGCTATCTGGGTCTGTCTGTCCGTTCGTCTGAGAGCTTCCTGCCCGGGGTCTTCGGCGGGAGGACTGTGTACTCGCATCCTCTGGAGCCGCGCCGGGCCAGTGAGGGACCACCCGGCTCCCGGGCATTGCGCTGAGGACAGCTGGCTTCGCCTGGGGGAAGGCAGCCGGCCTCCGGGCCCCCTGTTGGCGGGGACAGGTGCCATCCGCCTGGCGGATTTCGAACCCTTGGCCAAAGAGGCACCTTCCCTCGGTGCTTAGAGCAGAACTTCTCAGTAGGTCCCAGGAAACCACCCGGCGCTGCCCGAAAGAGCCCTTTCCCCCATCCCTTACTCCTTTTTGGAAAGGGAGACTTTTAAGGGATATAGATTCGTGTGTGTGTGTGTGTGCGCGCGCGCGCGCGTGTGTGTGTTAGGTACTAGAGGCAAAGGGTGAGAAATGAGTGTGAGCAATGGGGTGTAACTCAGGTTTCTTCACCCAGTAAAATGGGAGTGATAACCTCCCAGGGCGAGGTGGGGCATTAGTGCCTGCCGCAGAGCAAGTATCAATACTACTCAGGTCCAAATCAGATATCTAGTCTGCGCCCTGAAGGGAGCCCTGTGGCTCGGAATGCCAAGTCTGATTAAGAGGGATGGGCACTTTCAGAACGAAATCTTTCCTAGCCAAAGGACAAGGGTGCAGGAAACCTGGACGTCCCTACGGTTTCCCGAGAAGCTGCGACGGGTCCTCGCTAACTCTGCGGGTGGTCCAGGAGCTGGGGAACCCAGGTGTAGCCGGAGTGGGGTGGGCGGGGCCGGAACCAGCCTGGCGGGAGGCAGGAGAGGGATTGCCCTCTAAGGCTGGCTTCTGGCTTTCGTTTTGAGGGGGGTCACTTCGAGGATGGCCTTCCTAGTGAAGGGTCGGCTCTGGGACCTGTGACTGGCTTTTACACTTTGGAGACGTCACACAGGGATCTTGATCTAAGTTGATAGGGCCAAATGGAATTGGGAGGGGGCCCCTTTCCCTCCAAATGTGTCCCTCCCCAGCTTGCCAGAGCTATCTCCCAGATTGGGAGAAAAGGCAGAAGAGGGAGAAAGGGGAGGAGACTGGCTGAGCATCTGTTCCTCACAATGTCCTGAGCTGCCAGTGGTTCAATGATTAGGGCCTCTTGAGTATCACAGAGGCCCAGGCCGGCCCCCTGGGGATACAGGGCCAAGGGACCTCAGAGAGTTCCCAGCCTAGTGAGTAGTAAATGGCAAGTGTCGTAAAGAGGTGGCAATATAGTCAGACCCCACCATTCCCTGGCTGTGTGACCCACAGTGTCACTTTGCCTATCTGAGCCTCAGTTTCTTCATCTGTACAGTGGGAATGATAACCTAGGGTGAGGGGGGACATTCATGCCTCGCACACATTAAGTACTCTGTAGGAAACTATGGTACAGGTTTAGGGAATAACAGAAGAAAGAAAGTAACTCAGGGTGAGGCGTACCAGCAGGTCCTGCTAAGAAAAGAACGTTAGTAAATTAAACAGTGAAGTGGAGCCTCTCAAGGGGACAGGGTAGGAAGGATGTCTGGGCAGATGGAACAGCACAGGCAAAGGCATGGAGGTATGAAGGTGCACGAGGTGTGCTGGACCGAGGGAGGCGCTCAGGTAGTGGCAGGTGGGTTTGTGGGAGGATGCAGGGAAGTAGAGGGATTGGAGGGTCTGGAGTGAACTGGACTGGAGAGGTGGGGCGAGGTCATCACAGGTGGGACTTTATTCAGTGGACGTCTTAGAGCCGATCCACAGATGTTGACTGTGTGCCTTCTATGGGCCAGGCACTGTTCTAGGTGTTCAGTATACATCGCTGGACAAGAAAGACACAAATTCCGTTCAGGCTCTTTAAGCAGGAGAGTTATTTGACCCTGTTGCTGTGCTAGGAAGATAAATCTGGCTGCATGGAAGTTTGGAGAAGGTTGCTAGGGGAGAGGAGGCTGGCCCGCAGGCTGGTGGAGGCATCAGGAGTGAAGAAGCCGGCTTGTTGCCCCGCACAGGAGGCAGAGGTGACCACTGGTCAAGGAGGAGATCTGTGGATTCAGGGTGAGGCTCAGACTGCCAGCCTGTCCTCTACCAGAGCAGGGCCCAAGCCCCTCCAGCTGAGGCTTTCCAGCTCTCTGGTTTGAGAAGTCCCGAGCCCCAGGAGCATCTGCGTCTATGCGAGGAGTGGCAATGCTGGAGACAGAGTCAGCAGCCCATCTCCTGTTGGCATTTGCAGTGGGCAGCCTGTCCCTTTGGGGGGGCTCCTGTTTTCCTGGGTCACGGTTCTGGTACACGTTCTTTCCTCCCTCTGCAGGGCTGGCAGTAAAGCCCTCAGGGCTCTTGGGCTGGAGGAGACCAGAGCTCCAGGACCTTTGGCCCTGGGCTTCTCATTCGAGGGACTGAGGAGAGTTTTCTCCCTAAGGGCCAGGAAAGTTCCCTAATCTCAGATGCCTTCTGACTGGGGACGTGGTGGAGGGTCTGCTTCTGGCTGCTGGCTTTTGCTTTCCCTTTTGTTGTGTCTGCTCTGAAGTTTAGAGGAGTTTTTTATTTGTTTGTTTGTTTTGTTTTGTTTTTTGCAATTGACAGCCGTAAGAGCATCCTTCTCCTGGTTATAAGTCTCCTTTACTTGGAGGTGGACCATGCACAGCCTTTCACCTGCCACGGGAGGACCCTAGAATGTCCTCTCATTTGACAAACAAAACTCAGAGAGGGGAAGGAGCTCACCCAAAGGCCCACAGCAAGTCAGCAGCAGAACCGGATCTAGGTTCCTCTGCATTATCCCAGAAGACTGGCCACGTTCAAGTCAGAGACTTGTTAAGGGCCCCAGGTTAGTCCAGGGTGGGAGGTTTTCTCAACATCTGTCTTGCTCCTCCCCAGTTTGGACAGGTGGCCCCGTTTAGCCTGGTGATGTTTTTTTTCCTCCTTCCTTCTGGATTGAGCCTTTGGTGCACCAGCCACCGTGCTGGGAGCTCTGGCTCCGCGGAGAAACAGGTCACTTGTTTGGCTTTGCCTGCTCCAGGCCACACTGCCCTACCCTTCCTGGACAGCCCCGAGACGAGACGCCGGCCTGAGGTTGTGCTCCGGGGGTCTCTGCTAAGTGCCCCGAGCCCTGTGTCAGGACGCTGGGCTGGCCCTCGCCTCTGCCCCGAGCCCTGTGTCAGGACGCTGGGCTGGCCCTCGCCTCTGCCCCGAGCCCTGTGTCAGGACTCTGGGCTGGCCCCCGCCTTCTAGTCTGTGTCGTTTACTCGGGCTGAGCAGCTGAAAGTTTCCTTATTCTCTCTTGCCCTAGATTTCTCAGACATAGCAGCCCTTCAACCTGAGTGCTGGTTCCTTTAGCTCTTAGAATATTGGAGCCAGAAGGGACCTTAGCCATCCGAAAGTCCACTCCATTTGTTTTACAAATTGGGAGATTGAGGCCTAGGGAAGGGGGAAGGGAAAGGACGGGCCTGAGATCAGAGCCAGGGCTAGAACTCAAGATTCCCGATTCTGTCTTGAATGATTTTGAGGATGGTTCTTGAAGAAAAAACAAAACAGAGCACAATCCTCCTGCAAGGGCCCCTTTCTCCCTATACTCCACACTGCCAGGAATTTGGGGGGTACCCACAGTCACACGTCCAGAAGGAGTAAACGCTGGGGCCCCCGGAAGGCAAGGAGTATATGTATCTTGACATTTTCAGGACCTATCTCTTCAAACTGACTTTCACGCCAGGGACTAAACTAGTGATAAAACTTACTTGCTGCTCCCTGAACCCTACTTTATCATGTACCCCTGGATAGACAGGCTCTTGAAGTTATTTTCTCCCCCAGGTTACAAAGGAAGTACATGCTGATTGTAGAAAACTCGGAAGGAAAACTTCACGATATGCTGACAACCACTGTCGCCACGGTGGTGCCTTGTTCAGACTTTTTTTGTTTGCTGGCTTGCCTGCTCTGCTATTTCATATCCTGGTCTTCCAATTCATCATCATGACGTGTACTTTCCCCACGTGACGGTTTTTTCACACCGGTTCTAACCTGCCAGTCTCACGTGCTTCTACCATGTGATGGCTGGAAGGTACTTAGGAGGCCAGAATTTTGTGGCCAAAATCAGAACGCTCCAGTAGCCCAAATTCTGTAACGCTATGCAAATTACCACTGTGGGACTTCAGGGGGCCACTTCTCAGGTCACCGTCACCATGGCTGTTGGGAAAAGGGCTGTGTTTACCAAATCTAATGCAAACATTGATTCTCAGTGAGCTTCTTAGAAATGGAGGACATCAGCCATCAGGGGTGGGGTGGGTGTGATCCCAAGATTCTAGGAGGGAGGGAGAGAGCTTCGTTTCTTCTGATCTTTTGCTGTGTTGGTTTTAACCTAGCCAGGTGCTTCCACCCTGTTTTTATGACCCCTTTCCCCAAATCTCCCCAGGACTAGGCACTGGGGTGGGGTGAAAAATCAGAATTTGGGTTGCTTGTCTCCAAGCCCTACCTCTTGGAGAGGCAAAGATGGCAAAGACGTGCAGAGAATTTGTTACCGACTCAGGTGATAAGGTCGGTCACCCCACCCTGGGGACAGGATTTCCTGGTGTCTCTCATCCTCTAACAGGATTGGAGCCTTGCTAATGCCATGTAAATTGTCAATACTAGACGTGATCTTGGGGACTTCCCTGGTGGTCCAGTGGTTAAGTCTCCACATTCCCAATGCAGGGGGCCCAGGTTCGATCCCTGGTCAGGGAACTAGATCCCACATGCTGCAGCGACGATCCCGAGTGTCACAACTAAAGACCCGGCTCCGGTTCACTGGGTTTTTTTTCTTGTTTTTTTTTTTTTAAGATTTTTCTTTTTTTTGATGTGGACCATTTTTAAAGTCTTTACTGAATTTGTTACAATATTGCTTTTGTTTTATGTTTTGGTTTTTTGGCTGCAAGGCATGTGGGATCTTAGCTCCCTGACCAG